GTTGTATTAATGGCCCTGTTTAACTTAATTACCTCTTTAAAGACCTTGTCTCCAAATACAGTCACATTCTGAGGTACTGAGGATTAGGACTTCAACATAAGAATCTTGTGGGGCCACAATTCAGCCCATAATAAGTGGTTAGAAGCTCTGAACTAGAGCCAGATTGCCTGGCTCTATCACTTTCCAACTGCAACCTTAATTGTTCTGGGCCTCGGGTATTGTAATCTACAATACTGGGATAATAATAATATCTACCTCATAAGGTTGTTAAGAGGTCTACTAAGATATTTGTCATAGGTCTGTGGCCAGAAATAGCCAAAGATCACAGAGCAGTGTGGACGATCATTGATCAATAGATTTGGCTATCAGTTTATTCTCACTAAGAGTACCAGGGGTCATGTCCTATCTCTAACAGAGGACATCCACTTACCTTGTTCACCTCTTGTCAATATGGTCTCAGTATTGGGTGAACCAGACATACAGAACCAAGGCTTGATTCATAAACTTGTTCAGTACCCCATCGTTATTGCACAGAATAGTCTGAAATTGTAAAATTGATATTGCAGGGCTAGGTCGTTATATTCTAGTTTGAGCCAAAATTGCAGAGCTTAATAGCCCAGTATCCTTGCCCTTTGACAGAGTCTGAGATAACTTTCATTGCTATCTTAAACCATGTAGCATACATGTAACTTAATGTTTTCTAAGATTGATTAGTCTGCTCTCCTGGAATAAAGCCGCTCCAGTCCTCTGCTTCTTATGCCAGTTACAAAATTGGGAACATAACCAGTACAATTAGTCTACTATAAACCTAGAACTTAATGTGTCCTAAAATAACATATTTTCAGGAAAATGACAGTAAAGTCTACAAGTCTCTAATGAATTATTCCAGGACTGGAAACTGTGGGAGCTGTGTATTCGGTTTGAGTTCTTATTATAATTAGCTGATCTGCCAGAGGAGAGTGCTATTTGGATTACTGGGACTAACTGGAGTCAAGGCTCTATAATTCATCACTGGTTGCGTAGGCTTCTATTAATGGTCTCAGGAATGTGTCAAAGCATAAGACTAAGGGCCCTAAATATATCTTTATTTCTGGCTGAGAATTATTTACACTTCTAGAGTAAATTTGTGCTATACAGAGTTCTATCATGAACTAAGAATTGACCATATCAGATATGAATTCTAAAAAGAGCATAGGACAAGTATGGAAACTACATATACTTTGTTTAAATACTTTTAGTTCTGTTGCTAAGGTGCAAGATTTTTTTTTTTTTGAGACGGAGTCTCGCTGTTGCCCAGGCTGGAGTGCAGTGGCCGGATCTCAGCTCACTGTAAGAAGCTCCGCCTCCTGGGTTTATGCCATTCTCCTGCCTGAGCCTCCGGAGTAGCTGGGACTACAGGTGCGCACCACCTCGCCCGGCTAGTTTTTTGTATTTTTTAGTAGAGACAGGGTTTCACCGTGTTAGCCAGGATGGTCTCGATCATCTGACCTCGTGATCCGCCCGTCTCGGCCTCCCAAAGTGCTGGGATTACAGGCTTGAGCCACTGCGCCCGGCCAGGTGCAAGATATTTATTTGCAGGACATATACTGTCTTTATTAGTGCCCTTTTACTCTTTTATTTAGTCCATATACCCTAATCCATCTGTTATGGCAGATTGGCATATTTAGAAACAGAAACTAGCAGAAATGTTATGATCTTTAATTTCAGTTTGATTTTAAAAGTGTTTAAACCATAATAAGCTCTTTTTAATCGTAAGTTATATGTATATTGTTGTAACTCAATTATCTTTGAGTTATTATTATAACTCAAAGAATTTATGAAACAAATTTTAACTAATGACTTATGGTTTGGCAAAGTTAGAAAAAAAAAAAAGGCGTTCAAATTAGCTAATGGTTTTAGAGCCTATGAAACAACCGAAATAAGTTGTTCCCTCACAACTACATTTACCAGCAAGAGATAAATCACTTCCATTTGTTTGGTGACTGTAAACGCTTAAAAATCCATATTTTAAAAATGAGTTTACAGTAGTCCCCCTTTATCCAGGGAGAATAAGTTCCAAGACCCTAAATGGATGCCTGAAACTGCAAATGTTATTGAATCCTATATATACTGTTTTTTTCTCATATATTGATACCTATGATAAAGTTTAATTTATAAATTAGCCATAGTAAGACATTAACAGCAATAACTACAGTAAAATAGTAAAATAGAACAACCATAACAAATACCATCCTCATTACTCTTGTGCTTTGGAGTCATTATTAAATACAGTAAGGGTTACTTGAACAAAAGCACTGTGATTCTGCGACAGCCGATCTGATAACTGAGAATGCTGCTAAGTGACTAAATGGGCAGGTAGTGAGTATAGATAGTGTGGATATGCTGGGCATAGGGATGATTCACATCCTGGGCGAGATGGTGTAGGATGGCATGAAATTTCATCGCACTGCTCACAACAGTGCAATTTAAAACTTATGAATTGTTTATGGAATATTCTGTTTAATATTTTGGACTGCGGTTGACCATAGATAAATGAAACTGTGTATAGTGAACTCATGGATAAGGGGGAACGACTGTATATCTCAACTGTAAAACTAAAAACAAGGAGAAAAGGTGTTAAAATTTTTTTAAAAAAGAAGGAAAAATAATAAAGAATGTTATTGTAGCTGTAACTTATTTTTATGGTCCCAATTATTTTTATTTCAGAGCACAACATTTTGGCTGAAAATAATACCCAGTTAACAATATTTTTAGTGCTTATGACATATAAGATTCTATGCTAGATTTTATGGGATGGAAAAGAAAAGTCTGTATGGCATAAGATTTTATTAACCTACTCACTGACTGCTGACTTGTGAATATATTTTTATGAACAATGTATCAGATTCAGACATGCCTTCAGAAATCTCTATTAAGAGTGAAATGTGTGTCTATATTGGACATGGCTTGCTAGATATAACCCCTTCCTTTCACTTTAAAATAGTTGCTTACAATCTGAGGTGTTGTCAAAGAAACCTTGGTAAGATTCAGGAATTCTCTAGATTCTCAAATTTGCTACCGCATGACCAGATTTTTGGATTATGTGGGTAACCTGGATGCCTTAGACATAAAACCTAGCTTTCCACTGCCCTAGATTGTCAATTTAACTGGCATGCTCATATATGTTCCACAGCCGGCCCAGAATACTTATAATTAGCATGCTCATATATGTTCCACATGAACAGAGAAACAGAATATAATCAATTCTCACTCAGGGTAACAGGAAGCTTGGGACACAAATTAAGGGATTTATGAATTAATAGTCTTTCCCCTACCAAAGCTAGTAGCTTCATAGTTACCGATTAGCTGTAATTTACACTGATTGTCATGCATATTTTCTCCCTTCTCCCCACAGTACCCCTAAACACACATACCCAGACACACATCACTTACTCACAAACCCACCAAGATTGAATGTCTTAAACCAAACTTTAGGACTCTGCCATCTCCAGAGAAAGACTGTTTTATAGTTCTGATCCTCAACCAGTAGAGGCTCCAGAATTTCTATATGGAATAGACTTGGGGACAGCAATTTTATAAAAATTTTTGTTGAGGTTGTTATTTGCTTGGTAAGCATGGTAATTTTACTTAGATTGTATTTTTATTTTTGGTGGCGTATAAGGTTGATGCTAGCAGAGTTTATGGAGGGAAGTGCTAAACTCTCCCAAGTCAGCCCTCTCTGGCTCCAGATTCCACTGAGGGAGGTAGAGGTGGAAGTAATTTATAGTCCAGTAGGAACACTTTAGTTTACAAATTACCAAACTTTCCCAGGGATGGAGGAAGTGAGTACTGTATTTGATATTTGGTCTGTAGAACTCTACTGCAGTTTACACATTTATAAAGTTAATTTTTCACTTGATTTTGAGTGTAAAAGTACTTTAAAAATACTTTTTAAAAATAAAATTTTGGGCCGGGTGCAGTGGCTCACACGTGTAATCCCAGCACTTTGGGAGGCTGAGGTGGGTGGATCACTTGAGGTTAGGAGCTGGCAACCAGCCTGGCCAACATGGTGAAACCCCACCTCTACTAAAAATACAAAAATTAGTCGGGCGTGTTGGCAGACACCTTTAATCCCAGCTGCTCAGGAGGCTGAGACAGGAGAATCGCTTGAACCTGGGGAGAAGGTTGCAGTGAGCCGAGATAGTGCCACTGTACTCCAGCCTGGGCGACAGAGTGAGACTCTGTCTCAAAAAAAAAAATAAAATTTATTATACAAAAGACTTAATATTATTAATGTATTAAGCTTTAACTCTTTTTTTTTTTCAGTCATTTGCTTTCTGCTGAAGAATCAGCTAATAAATACTACATGATGTGGCAATTAGAAAGATGTAGAAGCCCTTTGAACCCATTTTTGCTTACAGGTAAAGATTAATTGCTTTTAAGTGAAAAATAGAAAGTGTTTGTAAATAGGTACAACCAGTAGAAATGTAGGATATCCATTTTCTTTGACCATTTCTTAACAGAATATATAACTTAGCCTAAAACTAAAATATCAAGATATCTTCCATAAGGTTCATTATGCTAGGTGCAGAAGTATATGACAAGATCTGGATCTTGCTGATTTTCTGGGTAATTCCTATACATGGGAGAAGGAAAATAAAAGAAATGAAATACAAGTAGTACATAAAACAGTCCCATACACGTAATTTGTATTTCCAAATTGAATTGTTTGTTAAAAAAAAAAAGAAAAAAAAAATCACATCTAATGTTAAAAGTTTTAGTTGCCCAAGCTCTCCAAAAAGGACATTTAAAAACATTTTAACAACAGCCGGAAATTAGCCGGGAGTGTCAGGGCGCACCTTTAGTCCCAGCTACTCGGGAGACTGAGGCCCAAGAATCACTTGAACCTGCGAGGGGGAGGTTGCATGAGCCGAGATGGCGCCATTGCACTCCAGCCTGGGTGACAGAGGGAGTCTCTGTCTCAAACAAACGAACAAACAAAGCAAAAAAATGGCCGGACACTGTGGCTCATGCCTGTAATCCCAGCACTTTGGGAGGCCGATGCGGGCAGATCACTTGAGGCCAGGAGTTCGAGACCAGCCTGGTCAACATGTTGAAACCCCCTCTCTACTAAAAATACAAAAATTAGCTGAGCATGGTGGTGCACACCTGTAGTCCCAGCTACTCTGGAGGCTGAGGCAGGAGAATCCCTTGAACCAGGGAGGTGGAAGTTGCAGGAGCTGAGATTGCCACTGTACTCCAGCCTGGGCAACATGGCGAGACTCCATCTCAAAAATAAATAAATAACATTTTAGCAAAACTTGTTTATAGTTTAACAAAATAATTTAGAAGTAAATATACATTTCACATGTATATTCAAAATTTATCTGAGTAAAGTTAAACTCTTGTCTGTGTCTGAACTATTCCATTATGGAAATGGAACTTTGGATAAGGTATTCTTTTAAAAAATGTTTAAACGAATCACTGAGTTGCATTTGGAGGCCAAAAACAAAGTGAAAACAGGAATCCTGGGAAGCAAGTAAGCACCAAAGCTGGCTTTCACTCCAAGCTTTTTATTAAACCTTGGAGACTTTGAACTTTTGTTTTGAGGTCTACATGTAGTGTAGAGTCAAGAAATATCCTATGTGGAGGGTCTGATAGGGGACCCCTACATAAAACTGGCAGTTCAACAAACTACCATCAAAATAAGAGCATACAAAAATAAACCACCATATCAAATGGAACTCTGAATACATTTGCATATTTCTACCTTGCAGCTGGAAGAGAGGAAAAGAAAAAACATTTCTCTTAAGTACTTCTAACCAGAAGGTAGCCATCATGCCTGGCTACAGTAGGAATTCAAACCACCTACATAATTTGAAAAATAGTGGTGATTTAATTTAAAGTGGTCCCAGGTTGACAGTGCCTCCCAAACACATAGAAAAACAAAAGTAAATCCTTTCTAGAGGAAAATACATTTTTTTCTGGAGGAATGTACTTCAACTCATGCTTCAAAGACCTTCAACAAAATTGAGAGAAACACATGCTAATAGACAAAAATCATAAAATATATTGGCATCATCAGTGAGATATAGCAGTAACATTAGACATCAAAATCAGATCATATATTGAAATTATCAATTACATAGTATAATATACTTTTAAAGCCAAAAAAGGGGGGGAACAAGACATCTTGTATTATTTCTTATAACTGCATGTGAATCTACAATTATTTCTATCTGAAGAAAAGGAATGGACTGTTGATATACACAACAAAGATGATCTCAAAATAATTATGCAGAATGAAAGAAACCACAAAAAATTCATATGGTATAATTCCATTTATATAAAATTCTAGAAAATGTAGTTTAATCTATAGTGGCAGGAAGCAGAACAGTGGTACAGGGGTTGGGGGATGAGGAAGATTAGAAGGGAGGTATAAAGAGGCAGGAGGGATACAAAACTTTGGAGGGAATGGATATGTTCATTACCTTGATTGTGGTAATGGATTCATGAATGTATAAATACATCAAAACTTATCAGACTTTTCACTCTAAATATGTGTAGTTTATTGCATGTCAGTTATACTTTAATAAAACTAGTAAAAATTATGCCTATCTTATAGAATTATTTAGGGATTTGTTAAGAATAATGTGTGTAAAGAAAGCACTTAGCACAGCGCCAGATGTTTTTTAGTAACTCGTAATTACTATTATTAATATTAGTATTTTTAAGTTTTAATTTATTCTTAATATTACTGTCATTATAAAAGCACCATTCCAAAATTAGAGTTTCAAAATTTATAATCCTAATTTCAGGTTGATGTTTATAATGCAGATAATAATATTAGGTAGTTGTGCTACTTCAGTTCCTCTATATGTTATGATTTCTCCCTGTTTAGGCTAGAAAGTAATGAGGCAGTAAGCTTTGTACCACAATATCTAAGACGATATAGTCATCATAAAATCTGAACAAATACATCTTCTTGTTTAGGCTTATTATAATAAGTTAGAATTTCTAATTTAACAAAGCTTATATTACTTCAAAATGTTAATCAAACATATTAATTTAGTAATTGAAAATGGTCAAACAAAATAAGAGTTCCTTGTCCTACTAAATATTAGAATAATTTTAACTTCTTGATATTTTCAAAGAGTGAAATAAATCCTTTATGTGACTTCTACTGCTATAATAGCTTGAACTTTTACAAATACTAGCATCTTGAGAACAAAAATACCAGCTATAACTTCAGATTTCACTTTTTTTCTAATGCATGAAAATGCATTTCATAAAGAAATTCCAGTGTGGTTCTGTTTATTGTGTTTTGTTTCTTTTGCTTTGTAGCCTGTTTCTAACTGTTTTTTATTTTTATTTTTGTAAGTGCCAAGAATTCAAGAGCCCCACAGCCAATATTCAGTTACAGATTTGAAAAAGATACTTTCTATTAAAGAAGAAAGCCTTGTGATTAATCTGGAAAAGGCAGAGTGGTGGAAACAAGCAGGACTAAATCTGAAAATGGTGGAAACGTTGGAACATCTGAATACATATTTATGTCATAATAATTTGTTTTCTAATGACACTGAAATTGAGGTATTTTTGCCTACAAAAGTGCTTCAATTAGAATGTAAGTACATAATAGTAAATATTAGTCATGTAAACATTTTCAGAATGTGAAAATGTTAGATTCTAGATTTCCTCTAGGTAACTGGGAAAATCACTGGGTTCTAACATTCCATATAGGCCCTGGCTCTGCCAGGTTTTATGACTTTGGATTTCTCTAGGTCCCATTTCCTTGAAAAAATGATGAAGTTTGACTAGCTAACCCTAAAATCTTGTTATGTCCTGAAATTCTGTAGTCTCAGTTTTTAAATTTCTAGCCATTTTAATTTAAAGTGACTTTGTTTCCTTCTATAAATGATTAAATTGCTAGCAGTTGCTGTTCACATCGGCCTAGGTGCAAACCAGCATTTTGCAGTAACTGTTTTTTGACCTAAAGCTGAACATTAGCGTTCAATAATATCACTCATTGACAACAGAGGATCTTTGTTACTTAAAAGTTTACTAATTCATTTTTTACCATACAATTTAAGAAGGCAAAAATGTCTTTTAAGTGTCTATGTCTTGAGCTATTGGGGTTGCTATATATGGCATTATATTAATAGTAAATCGAACATATTTAGCATGAATTATATATTTTTTGGGGATGTGTGGTTTTTTTTTTTTCTTTTCCCTGAGACACAGTCTC